TGATGATCTACTTGAAGTGTGTGTTTTGCTCCCGCTGCATCACGCGGGAGGAGCTGCGTGTCTCCGTCCTGTCAGATTAGACTTCACTCGCGTTTATGTCCATATCGAGATAAAGATAAATAATCTGAATTCAGTGTGCAGTGTACTTTTTGCGGGGGTGAGCAGCAGAGGCGGGGAGAGGCGGGGCTATTGCGTCGTCATTATCAGAAACGGATGACCGTATAGGCGACCACACGGCCCCGTTGGACCCCCCAGAGCGCTCCGTTCCCAGATCTATCCACCTTTGGACCCGTTTGTTGTTTGCAGGGTCTGTTTCTAAGTTGCCGTTACGCGTCGTCGAGCTTAAAGGGCTATAACGCATGAGAAATATGCGGATTCAACCCTTTTTCGTTCCCGTGGAGCCTAGCCTTACACTCAACCAAAGATCTCTCAGGTTGCCACATTGCTGATCTCCTTGAAGGCTGTCTTGATTTTCAGATACTTAATGCAAATGTGGTTATGCATACTTTCACTACTAGGTGTCTTTCAGAGCCTGGATAGCTCATCGGTAGAGCATCAGACTGTTTAATCTGAGGGTCCAGGGTTCAAGTCCCTGTTCAGGCGTAAATCTATTGTGTGATGTGACTCAAGTCCTCTCTAAAGCTAACATTTGTCTGCTAGACCACGTCCGCTTGTTGCATTCGTGGTTAGTCTGTTTCCTACCAACTATCTAGATAAATCCAAGTCACTCACACGTCTTCAAGGTGCCGTTTATAAGTGTCTCATCATTTACACTCAACCAAGATCTCTCAGGTTGCCACATTGCTGATCTCCTTGAAAACTGTATTGATTTTCATTTCATCATTTACACTCAGATACTTAATGCAAATGTGGTTATGCATACTTTCACTACTACTAAGGTGTCTTTCAGAGCCGGATAGCTCAGTCAGTAGAGCATCAGACTTTTAACTGAGGGTCCATGGTTCAAGTCCCTGTTCAGGCGTTAACTATTGTGTGATGTGACTCAGTCCTCTCTAAAGCTAACATTTGTCTGCTAGACCACGTCCGCTTGTTGCATTCGTGGTAGTCTGTTTCCTACCAGACTATCTAGATAAATCCAAGTCACCACATAGGTCTTCAAGGCCCCATTTATAAGTGCCTCATCATTTACCTCAACCAAAGATCTCTCAGGTTGCCACATTGCTGATCTCCTTGAAAGCTGTCTTGATTTTCAGATACTTATGCAAATGTGGTTATGCATACTTCACTACTACTAGGTGTCTTTCAGAGCCTGGATAGCTCAGTCGGTAGAGCATCAGACTTTTAATCTGAGGGTCCAGGGTTCAAGTCCCTGTTCAGGCGTAAATCTATTGTGTGATGTGACTCAAGTCCTCTCTAAAGCTAACATTTGTCTACTAGACCACATCCGCTTGTTGCATTTGTGGTAGTCTGTTTCCTACCAGACTATTCTAGATACATCCAAGTCACTCGCACATGTCTTCAAGAACCCATTATAGTGCCTCATCATTTAGGGCCCCGGCCTCATGGGAACGCATACGGCACAAACGCATCGGAGTAACGCAAACGCAACCGCAAAAAACCTTCCGCCCACACGCAATATACAACCGGATTGTGTCAAGCTCCACGAGACGGCTCCGTTTACATCCAACCGCTGGAAAAGCTGCAGTACATATGCCGAACCTGTACGTGGCGCTGTAACTTCCCCCACAAAAGCAGCAACTTCCTCCACAAAAGCAGCGAAGAAGAATGGTTGTCATGGCTGCACTTCTGTTTATTCTCCTTGGTGGGGGCCGACGGAACCGGGCAGAGTTTTTCGCCGGTCAACGTGTGTTTAAAGTTTAAATCTTCCGGACAAAATTATAAAAGTGCCGGTCAAGGTCTTCATTGTTATTTATTGAGCTTTAAAACAAATGAATAACGACGATATAATGATATATAATCATAAAATACACGGAGGCTGTCTCTTTTTCCTCTCTTCTGACAGCGTCAGTGTCTGTCTCATGCAGCAGCTGATCCTGTAATGAGTGACCCGACAGTAAAAATAAACATATTTA